AAATGCAGTGAATGGAAATAAAATGTTTGAATTGTGCACATGTTTATTTCAAACAGTGTTAGCTTTTCTCATAACATTAGTCTCGTTTCAAGTCGTTTGAGGTTTTTTTGGTTGTCGTTCAGTTTATGTTAATGTTTAGTATTTGTTTATTGGTCTGAATCAAAAGGGAACAGTGCAGTCAGTCACTCAGTCACTACTAGTCGGTGTGTTTAGACTTAGAGGGAAGAGTCTGGTAGATTTATAGGACATAAAACTAGTAGATCTATTGATAGTGTTGTGCACTGTGCTATCAGCTACCAATCTGTTATGCGACTCTTCAATGTTTAGAAGATCTGCATTCTTGAAGCGTTTTTGTATAATGAAGCCAGTCAAATGGACAATATTTAGCTCGTTACCTTGTAGCGGATCTCGCTACATAAAACTAAATTTATACATATATACCACATCTCGCTACCTAGAACTAATTTTATGTTCATATTGATTTTTATGTTCACATTAATAATAACACTTACCATATTAAGTATTACGTATCTGCATAACTCTGGCAAATTTACATCCTTAACTGAGAAATCACAGCCTCACTGAATTTGTAGGTAACATAAAACTATAAGTTATTATGATGTAAACACCAATTATTATCCCGAACTAAAAACCTATATTTTGCTCATCTACATTTCAGCATTAATTTCTGAAGCAGGAAAAATGTTAGATATTCGGATTTAGAAATAAGAGTAAAATGCAATACAAGTAGACATGAAATCGAAAGCACCTGCTGACAGCATCAATTCACCACACCAGAAATTCGCCAGCATCCATCCACCATCTGGGCAGCTTTTGTCACCTTTTTTGAACAATGGTGTCACTTGAGCTTCTTTCCATTCAGCCAGTAAAACTTCTTCGTTAAAAGTTTTACGAAAAAGTGACGTCAGAGGGCCGGCTAGGACAGTTGCTAACTCTTTGAGTAATCTGGAGTGGAAGCCGTCTGGTCCACATGACTTGTTTGGATTTACAGCGATAAGGCGCTTGAGAACCTCTTCTTCTTGTATTTCAAAAGTTGTTAATTTAGAGCCGACTGGGAGCTCCTCAATAGCTGGAATACTGTTCAAGTCCTCTTAATAATAATAGCGGTTTCAGCGTTTATTAGGCCATAGGCCTGTTACCGATTTATTGGCACTAAATATTAACTGGCAATCGGAACGCCACGATCAGAGCACCTGGCATCAAATCAGCCCACGATCAAGCTGCTCGGGTACAAACAAGCCCACAATCAAACCGCATGGCATCATATCAGCCCCAGATCAAACAGCCCTGCCTCATATCAGCTCACAGCCAAATCGTCTGACATCAAATCAGCCCAAGATCGATTGCCCGTGGATCGAACAGGACAGCAAGAACAGTTGCACGGGCGAAACAAAGCGCTGGGCACTATGCATGCAGCATGATGGATGTATACCTGTACCTAAAAATTTTTTCGTTTGCATGATAAAAAGTCTACACATGTCTGGAAACACACACACTGTATCAAGTTAAGTAATCTCAACATGTTTTGAGCTGCTAGGAACGAATTTTGATTCAGTAGTGGGTTTCCCCAGAAACATTTTGTGATACAATCGTTTCTGTCTCTTATACACATCTAGATGTGTATAAGAGACAGGGATACATAGGTTTGATCCACATCTTGGATGTGTTCTGGCAACGTTTGGTTCTGCTGCGCCGACTACTCCCTGCTCAGTTAACATTAAAAGATTGTAAGTAACGGGTATCAGACAGGACGGCTTGACATCATTGCAGAGAAAGGTAAGTCGTTCATTCTAAAAATATATTATTTATAAGTTAGATGCAGAATTTTATTGATAAAGAGAGTACTTTTAATTCTGTGTATGGTATTA